CTGGAGCACTGCGCGCGCTGCTGCTGGTCGTCGTCGGTCTCCTCCTCCTCCTCCTCCTCCTTCTTCATGTTTAAACAGAAGACCAGCGGCGAGAAGGAACAACGGACGATGACAACGCTGCGAACTGCCAGTGCCACTCGCAAGGCAAACGCTGTCCAGCGAGCGTGGCCGAAGTGCAGCATGTGGATGCGCGTTCGCCGAGAAAAATATCAGTGCCTCAAGGGGCAGATGCGCAGGAGGAGGAGGGGGATGATGATGATGCTGATGATGATAATGATGGTGGTGATGATGAGGAGGAGGAGGAGGAGAAGGAGAAGGAGGAGGAGGACGAGGACAGGAGGAATAGGAAGGATAAAAGGAAGGACGGAAGGAAGGAAGGAAGGAGGAGGAGGAGCGAACGAAACCGATGAGAGCTCCGATCCTCAGCTGATCTCAGCTGCGCCGCGGCCGCGCGCCGCCTGAAGGGTCGGGACAAAGCCTCAGAATGTGGTGGGCGGCGGCAACAGCTTCGTTCTGCGTGCCGCAGGATAGGGGCAGCAACCCCTCCTTCGTGAAGTTGCACATGCGCGTGGCACACCCCGTGCGCACGACCGCGCTCGGGATCCCGTCCTCGCCATCGATCTCGGAAGAGGGCGAAGGAAGCCCGATCCGCGCCAGCAGCCCCGCGCTCAGCAGGCCGCCAGGGGCGGGGGCAGACCATGTGTGCTTGTTGCCGTCGTCGGGGTCGCAGCCGAAGTGGCAGCTCCCCTTGCATCGAAGAGCGTGCGCCCTTGCATCTTCAGCGTGGCCCGCACTCGGGCAGGATGAGGAGTGGCGAGGTAGATCCGCAGGCGAGACCATCTCTCGGGAAAGTCTTAAAGAACGTTCGGAAAATGCCTCAGGTCCACGGGCTCGTCGCCATCCAGTCCGGCCCCTTCCGCCGCGAGCCGCCCGGCGCTCTCGCCCGTCGTGCAGGGCATCGCTTCTGGGCGGGCGGCTGGAGAAACCAAGGGCGCCGCGACGTCCACTGGCGGCATCGCGAGATCGCGGCGTGGTGAAAGATCAGGCTCGGGGCGCCGATGGCTTCGCGCGCAGCGGCGACGGGCGCGACTCTGGGCTTCTTCTTCTTCTTCTTGTTATTCCTCGTCTTCTTCTCGCAGCGCAGCTTGTTCATGCCGTCGGTCAGCGCTGGCGCCTGGGTGTCCCATGAGGCGTAGTTCCGCGAGACTCGAGTGCGCATGTCGCGTGCCAGCTGTCGTCGCTGGTAAGGGGTCTGGCACAGCGGACGGGGGCCATCGCGTAGAAGAGCCGATTCCATACGTTCGACGCACCAGTTCATCCCGTCCACCTCGTTGTCGATGTCGCGTTTCTTCATCGGCGCGACGGGGGCGCATAGCGTAGCCCAGGCAGCGGCTCGACGAAACAGGCACTCTCAGACTTTCTCAACGTGGAGTCGATCTGGATCAGGTTGGACGTTGAGCTGGACGTCGGGGTCGAGGCCAGGAAACTATGCAAGATGGCGGCGACGGCTCGTGTGTGTCAAAATGTCGATGAAGAGTCGTTCCTGCAGCGCGAGGAGTAAGGCTTTCTGCGGAGTGCGCTGCAGGCGAACTCGTTCCCGCGCCTGTTCAGGATATGGCGCCCTTGCGGGCGGCTTCCTTATTAGCGGTCTGAAGGTGGACTCGTGCGCGAGAGGGAGAGCTTGTGAATCTGGCAATGCGTTTAAAGTGCGCCCCCTTGCTGGTGACGAAGAATGGCGAGTACGTGACGCCAGTCAGGCGCTGCTCAGTGGAGGCGAGACCCTTCCAACATGTAGCGCACCAGCTGCCGGCAACGGCGTCGGTGATGCTGAGCTCCTCGAAGGCGGCGTGGCAAAGGCGGTGGTGAGCGTCTCGCGACTCCGCAACAGTGGTAGCTGCTGTGAGCCGCATGGTCGCGGCCATCAGCGTCTTCGTGCCGTGCGGAATCTCGATGTTGGGCCAGAGCGCCAGTGCTTGGCATTCTGATTTTGCACAGCTGTTAGGCGCTATTATGAAGAGCTTCTGGACAGCTTGGGGTTCTTCGGGGTGGATCGTGCGCGGCGGCTCGAACAGCTGGCTGACGTGGGATGAGCGGGCGATGGCGGCGACGTTGTATAGTTTGGTGCGTTGCCGAAAAAGCGCGCGCGATGTGGGGGTCTTCTCGGTGCGGCCCCACCGCCCGAGGGGCGGCCCCCTCCGCCGGTCTTCGGGCGCCGCGGTCCGCGAGGAAACGGAGACGGCGAGCTTTGTCCGCGATCTTGACTGCGCTCCAGGGAGGGCGAGCGCCAGCTAGTGTCGCGCGCGTCCGCTCGATCAGCGGCAGGGTAGACGGGGGCTGCGTTGGAGAGATGCTGCGCTTCTTGGCTTGGAGCTTGAGGCCCACCTGCGTGTCGGCAGCGATCATGCGTGGAGCGAACAGCTTGGCAGCGTCGTGGAGCTTCGCGAGGGTGACACCCCAGGTCATCGGCGCGTGCGCCGACGAGACCTCCGCGGATGTCGAAGAGCTCCTGGCCGATGGCGCGGACGAACGGGTCGGGACTGAGCGCCTGGATGGCGTCGCTGAGCGGGCAGCCCTGTGCCGCCCCAGAAGCGGCGCATCATGGCGGGCGTCGTTCACGGCCCAACTCGGGGAAGGCGAGCGGCGTGAAGTAGCGTGGGCGGAGGAGGGGCAGCATGTTCCTGCGAATGCTGCTTCTACCGGGGGCCGCCCAAATCCATTGGTGTGCTGAGCTGGGGAAGGCGGCCGCGATGCCCATGCCGCAAAGGCGGGCGTGTCGCGGTCGGCCGAAGGCAGCGCGCTGAGACGGCGAGCTTCCGCGTCCACGGCGACGGCGTTCTTCGGGAACAAGCGGCTTTTGACGAGGCCCTGCTGTTCGGGGGCGGTTTCGGCGGCCGCTGTGCATGGGCGTCTGTTCGCTGCTGAGGCAGTGATTTAGATGTCCGATTTTTCATCGATGGTGGGCATGGGCGCTCAGGGGCGCGGACGCACTCCGCGCTGTCCATCGGCTCGTCGACATTGGGGGGGGGGCGTGGCCACGAAAGAATGGTTCAAATAGAGCGGGACGGAAGAAGACTGAATGATGACGTCGCGTTGCTCTACCATCACCTCGAAGCCTAGGGTTGCGAGGCCATGCGCAGAAGGGAAGGCTGTCGGGCCCAACGGCGGAATCGCCCGCGGGACGGGTGGACTTTTCGAGGCTGGCGATGTCGGGAGTCTCGATCAACTGCGTGGGCCCTTGCGGGGGGACTCGGTCCGGGCGGGGGGCGACGGCGGCGTCGTTGGCGTGCTTGGCGGCGAAGATCGGCCCCCAGTGGTTCATGATTTCGACGTGCATGGCGGCGGGGCCTCTGGCCGCGTTGGTGGCATTGCCGACGAGTATCTCGGTGCCAGCCAGCGCTGGCCTCGTCGAGAAAACGCTTCCACAATTCTCCTTTGCGACCTTCGCGTCGGGAACGCTGGCGCCATCGACCGCCGAACTTGACGTTGTTCTCGGCGTGGGACTCCCGCGAGTGAGCGGCTGTTATGGCTTTCCTTTCGTCGCGTAGGCCAGCGTGGATAGCGTCGGTATCTGTCTGGAAGGCGGCGGCGTCGTTCGCGTCCTCCTGGCCTTGGCCGACTCGGAGCAGCTGGGGCCCGATGGTCGCGTGGGGGATCAGCTTGTTCGCTGATGCGGCGTCTTGTTGCCAAGTTGCCCTCGCGATGTTGCGGAGTGTCATTCCGCGGGCATTTTTGGTGGGGCCTGATGACTGACTGGACAGCTCGGCGGTCTTGATTGAGGTCATCGTGTCTCGCTAGCGTCTAGAAGCTTCGTGCGTGATTGTCTTCATCGTGTGCTGCTTGGCCGTGGCGTTCGAACTTGACAGGTCGGTCGTGTTCATTGGCGCAGAAACTTGGTGCTGGCAGTGCGGCGAGTCGAAAATTCAAGCGGGGGCGCCTCTTTCTTGTGTGGGGCGCTGGCGTGCATGGTCTTGAGGTCGCTGTCCATGCCGCTGGCCCCTTCGAGCGGCGCGTAGTTGGCGGTGGGCATGTGCAGGAAGGGAGATGCAACGCATGTCGTTTGTGGGCGTGGACACGTTGGCGACGCACCTGTGAGTCATCGAAAACGCGTTGATCTCGATCATCTCCTGGAAGACGCATCTCCGGAAGACGAGCTGGCGCTGCTATCTCTGCGCGGCGGTGGTGGCAAAATCGACGGGGGAGTTGATGCTCTTCGGCGGGTGCCCGGAGATGTTGAAGTCGCCGAGCGCGATCAGTATGCGATCCGCTGGGCGCTCGTCAACATGGGCGCGTCGAGGGCGGCATTGCCGATGAAGCTCCGCGCGATCAGCAGGGGGCAAGTCGTGATTGTGAATGTTGAAGATCGTGATGCCGTGGCGCCGTTCTGCGTCGGTGAGTCGGGGCCGCGCCGCTCGCCCTGGGGCGATCACTGCGAAGGGGCGAGGTGGTCATTCCTTGTGTGGGCGGCCCAGTTCGGCCTCGTCAGTCGGGGCGAGGAGGCCAACGCCGCCAGCCGAGGGGGTGCTCGGGAGGCCAGAGCGGTGCCCGACGTAGGAGTGCTGGGTGGAGTTCGCAGGGTGCATGTCGTACTCGGATCCGAAGATCTACTGCAGCGCGATCACGGCGCGCCGCCTAACGGGCGGAAGTAGGCGGCGGCGTTTGTCCAGACGGCTCCACGCTGAACCTGGGAATGCAATGTTGGCGCCCTCCCGCGCTGGGGGCTGGGGCCAGGCTGAAGCCGCTGCGCTGCAGGCCGAACATCTGCGAAACTGTTTTCGAACGCGGTGTTGGCGTTCCGCTGAATGGCGGGCGCGAGCCAGAGGGGCGCTGCAGCGGCGGCCCTGTGGGCTCGAGCGTGGTCATCAGCAACTGCGCCCGTGTGAATCCGCGCCATTGCGCTGCCCATGTGTGAGATGTAGCCGAGGAAGCGGTGGGTGCGAACGTCGACGCGCGGGCACTTGGCGGGCGCGATCTTGGAGAGTTTTTTTCCCGAACAGTGCTTG